CCGAGTGGGCCCAGCAGCGTAGATCCGAGTGGGCCCAGCAGCGTAGACTCGAGTGGGCCCAGCCGTGTAGACTTTAGTGGGATCAGCACTGTACACCTGAGTGGGCCCAGCAGTGTAGACCTGAGTGGGCCCAGCAGTGTACACCCGAGTGGGCCCAGCAGTGTACACCCGAGTGGGCCCAGCAGTGTACACCCGAGTGGGCCCAGCAGTGTAGACCCGAGTGGGCCCAGCAGCGTAGACTCGAGTGTGCCCAGCAGTGTAGACTCGAGTGGGCCCAGCAATGTAGACTCGAGTGGGCCCAGCAGTGTGGATCCGAATGGGCCCCGCAGTGTGGATCCGAGTGGGCCCAGCAGTGTGGATGTGTGGCAATGGTGTCAGGGGCTAGTTTGGGCCCAGTACAGGACCTGGTGGCTCGGTGGTGTCAGCATTGACAGGGTCCGGCAAAGCCTCAGCAGTGAGGGTGTGAGTGGAGGTGAGATGGTGTCGAAGAGTGGTGACCTGGTGACGTCCATTCCAGGGGTGCTGTGATGAAGGAGACTCGAGCGTGACGACTAGACCTATGGCCCATGACACAGCACTTAACCAGAAGGACTGTAAAGTTGGACACTTTTTATTTATTTCTTCATTTCTCTGCCTTTATAGTTTATGTTTTGCTTTATCTTTCTGTGGTTTAAGATGGCCCTGGAGAGTGGCAACGCTATACAACACCTTTCACTGTATTTTGTAACAAAATACACATGACAATAAATAAATTAAATCAAAATGTCCCTGATCTCTGACACAGCTTCATGAAGTTACACAGTCACTGCGCTATTTTGTTAACACACGGTGGAGCCCTTCCACACTTGACTGTGGGTCCCAAGACACCAACAGCAAGGTGCATTTACTTAATGCCTGTAACTGCCCAAGGTCCTACACAGGAGCGTTGTCAAACAAAATACCGGCAGATAGGCACAAAGAGTAGGACAAAGGGTCAAGAACTGTGCCAGGGAGGGCAGTGACCTACAGCATCTGAAAGAATGACGGTGACGAGGAGAGAATTCCGGAATGTGGGACACAGACGGCTGGAGACACAGCCACTGGGAGGTGCAGTGAGAAAGCGTGGGGAGGCCAAAGGCCGTTTGAGTGCAGGGATTGGGAGTATTGTGGGGCTGGAGAAGGTTCGCTGTCATTTATGTCTGTTTTATTTCTCTGTCTCTGACAGTATAACTGCCCGTTACCAGGAGTGCATCATGAACAGAGCACACCACCGAAGGACTACATGCTGGAGTCTGTACTTGTGACAGTATTCTGCTGTCTGCTGTCTGGGATTTTAGCCATCATCTTTTCACATGAGGTACGATCAGTGGGACTCACCCCACACCACACACAAACGCTTGATAATTACATTCCCAATGCCCACTGAATACTTGTTCCTGATTAACACCCCAACTGCAACACTGAACCCCCACCCCCCCCCCCCCCAACCCTGTTCCTAAACCCCAACCCCAACCCCAAGCCTGACATTAACGCTGACCCTAACCTCAGTTCTATCCTGACCCTAAGCCCAACACCGACCGTGACCCTAACACTGACCCTGACCCTGACCCCAACCCTTGCCCCATCTGTGGCCCTAACCCCAATTCCGACCCTAACCGCGATCTTTATCCCTGACCCCGACCCCAACCCTGACTTAACCCCAACATGTAAACCCGGCCGCGCTATCCCGGTGTAAACACAACAGAAACTGGGGTTGGGGTTAGGGACAGAGTGGGATGATTCTTACTCTCCTTCATGACCCCACCTCTTCCTCACTGACAGTATGCCCCCAGCTCTCCCCACCCCCTCACACACACACACCTCCCCACCACCCCCCACACCCACCCACACCCCCTCACACACACACCTCCCCACCCCTCCCCACACCCACCCACACCCCCTCACACACACACCTCCCCACCCCCTCCACACCCCACACCCGTACACACCCTCACACACACACCTTCCCCCCACATTCCCACACCCATACACACCCTCACACACATACAACACCCCACCGCTCCCCACACCCATATGCACCCTCACACACACACCTTCCTCCCACATCCCCCCACCCACCCACAAACTCCCACACACACACCTCCCCACCCCCCCTCACCCATACATACCCTCACACACACACCTCCCCACCGCACCACCCTCCCCACACACACACACACCCTCACAGACACAGCTCCACACACCCACACACACCCACACCCCCCCACACCAAACACACACCCACACCCCACTCCCACACACAAACACACACGCCCATGCATACACACCCACATCACTCCCCACACACCCCTCCCACACACACTGGCACACACACACACGCACATGCTCACATACACACACACTCACATACGCACATGCACACACACACACACACACACACACCCCGTCACTGACATGGATTTCAATATGATTCATTTCAGGAAATGGGAGTGAATGACAAGTGTTCCCCCTCCCACAACCGCCACACCCCCACCTTGACTGGATCCAGCCCAAAATTCCTTCCTCTTACTGCCGCCCCCCACTCCGGGCCCTGGCCTGTCTCTGTCTGTGTGCACTTAGGCTGGGTCCTGTGCCCCTGGGCTGAGCTGTGGGTGTTAGAGTGCTGTGTGATGTGAGCTGTTTGCAGTGACTCACTGTCCCATTACCTCCCACAGACCCGCCTGGCGGTTCAGAGAGGAGACCACAGATACGCTGAGAGCACTTCGAGGAAGGTGCGGGCACTGGTTCTGTTCAGCTTGCTCTTCGGGGTCTTTGTGTCCATTGCCTGGGTCATCTACGTGGTTGTGGCACTCTACTTTGTGTGAGGGGTGCCGTGAGTAACCCAGGACAGGGTAACAACCCCTCAGCTGGGTCCTGCAGCTTTGTGAATGACCCATGTTAGTAACCTGGGGGCCCCTGACTTTGTACTCTGTGGTGTTGTACAGCAAACCCTGTGCTGGCGAAGCTGTTTCACTTTCCCACAATGGAACATGGCAGAACATTTACAATACCATCAGAACCTTGATCTTTCAGACCTTTATTCATTCGTGGGATGTGGACATTACTGGCTGGGCCCAGCTTTTATTGCCCGTCCCTAGTTGCCCCTTGAGAATGTGGGGGTCAGCTACCTTCTTGAACCGCTGCAGTCCATGTGCTGTGGGTTGACCCACAATGTGCCCTTAGGGAGGGAATTCCAGGATTTTGACCCAGCGACATTGAGGGAATGGCGATTTACTTCCAAGTCCAGGGAGTCCCATAATGGACAAGTAATCCAAAATACCAGGCCCATGTCCTGGGCACATTGGTTCAAATGTCACCACGGAACATGGTGAAATTTGAATTCAATAGAAATCTGCAATTAAAGAAAACTGGCCTAAATCTGTCGATGGTGATAAAAACTCATCTGCGTCATAAGAAATAGAGACAGGAGGAGACCATTCAGCCCCTCGAGCCTGCTCTGCCATTCAATAGGATCATGGCTGATCCAACATTCCTCATGTCCACTTTCCTGCCCCTTCCCTCGATTCCTGAATGACCAAGAATCTAGCTCAGCCTTCAATACACAGAAGGACTCGCCCCACAGCTCCCAGTTGCAAGGAGTTCCAAAGACTCACAACCCTCTGAGAGAGGAAATTCCTCCTCATTTCGGTCTTAAATTGGGGCCCCTCTATTCTGAGACTCTGGTCCTAGATTCTTACATGAGGATTAACGTTCTCTCAGCATTTACCCTGTCAAGCCTGTACATGTGACTCCAGTCCCACGGCGATGCAGTTAACTCTTAAGTGCCCCCTGGGCAATTAGGGGTGGGTAGTAAATGCTGGCCTAGCAGGTTACACCCAGCAGTGACTCACTCGTCCTGTGAGAGAATAAAAACAAAATGGAAGGCTCACTCTCAGAATGACCCATCATGGTCGATTCTATCCCCCCGCCTAGCAAAGACGGGCAGAACCATCCCAGTGCAGGGGGAATCCAGGTGACTGCCTACAGCCCCACCCTGGCACCACAGGCCCCTGACCCAGACACCAGGGGAGTAGGGAGGGCGAAGGTTTGTGTGGCTGGGTGGGGGTGACCTTTGTTCACTGGGGACGGTACAGACCACCCATCCTGCCTTGGGCCCTGCACCCCCACAGCCCTGGCTCTGAAGATGGGGAGTCACATACAATACAAAGGTCAGTGAAGCCCAGTCTGTGGTTGATTAACTGGGGACAAACTCCAGGACAGGCTAGATTAGACATGGGTGATAAAAGGATGGGATCTCTCTCTCTCTCTCTCTCACTCACTCTCTCTCTCTCACTCTCTCTATCATAGACTATCTCACTCTCTGGTATGCTTTCTCACACACTCTCGCAGTCACTCAATCTCACCCTCTCTCCCACTATTTCACTCTCATATACTCAAACACTCTCGCACACACACCCACTCTCTCGCACACACACCCACTCTCTCTCTCACACTCCCACTCTCTCACTGTCACACTATTTCACTCTCTCTCACACTATTTCACTCTCATACACTCAAACACTCTCTCACACACACCCACTCTCTCACACACACACCCACTCTCTCTCTCACACACACCCACTCTCGCACACACACCCACTCTCTCGCACACACACCCACTCTCTCGCACACACACCCACTCTCTCTCTCACACACCCACTCTCTCTCTCACACACCCACTCTCTTGCACACACACCCACTCTCTCGCACACACACCCACTCTCTCATTATCACACTATCTCACTCTGTCTCACACTATTTCCCTCTGTCTCTGATTGCCAACCCTGTAAGATTAACCTGTAGTCTCCAAAAATTGTGACCAATACTTCTTAAATTTATTCTTTGAAGGGATAAGGCTGTAATTGTCACTGTGATTAAGAGTCAACAACACCGCTGTGGGCCTGGAGTTACATGTAGACCAGACCAGGTAAAGATAGCAGATTCCCTTAAGACAAAACAGATGGGCTTTTAACAATGGCTGGCGATATTTTCATGATCACTATTACTGAGACTAGCTTTTTATAAGATTCCAGGTTGATTAATTTAATCTGGATTTCACTAGCTGCTGTGGTGGGATTAGAACTCAGGTCCCAGAGAGAGTAACTTGGCTTTATTAAGTTAATGGCACCAACACTCCACCCTCTCAACATCATTGAGGCACAAAAAAGCAGGGCTTTCCATTTTTGTGGCTAGGACCCCAATACCGAGTGTCAAACATGGATCCCATGGGCGTGATAAGACCAGGCACCCAGCCCGTCTGGACCAGCATTGGCTGGTTAGTGTCGGGGGAGGGAACTCTCGATTTATGGATAGCAGACAGCTGGGTGAGGGGCTGGACAACCAGGAACTGAGCGGCCAGGAGCTTCAGCCTGTCACAGGATAGCAGACGATGGTATCTGTGAGAATCTTTGAACAGGTTTGAAATAAAGACTGGCCACAGCTGCTGATTCTCATGGTCCAGGGAGAATCTGCCGAAAAGCCACGGTTGAGGCCTGATTGGGGGTGGTGAGGGTCTTTGATGTTATCCTAGTTCTGCCCCCTCCCCAGGCAAACTGAGAGGGGAGAGGGGTCTCTTATCAATGGCCTTTACTACCCTAATGAGCTTAAAGTCACAGATGATTCTAAGCTGACCTAGCCCTGCTGAAAGGCTGAAGGTCAGGATGTTGTTGGTGAACCATCGAACCATGTTCCATGTTCCATTGCTCTGTGTTTGATGATGTGATTCTGTTTACTATTGAGGCTCACTGAGTTTGAGTGGTTTAACCTGGGTGTGGAGTTAAGTGAATACATCTGTGGGAGGAGCTGGAAGCTGGAGTTGGAGCGCAGAGCAGACATTTTAAAGCCTTGTGAATAAAAGCTGTTACACACAGAGAGACTGGTATATTTCGCTGTGTTACTCTTTGCTGTATAAACTATACAACAGCCCGCAGGTGAGATTATCCAAGTGTCTGGCTCCATTCCCGACTCCATAACCAGATCACAATCCCGGCCAAGGTTTCTAGATTTCACAAACCCAGGTCTGGGCCTGGAGGAGAAGGGTATGATAAACTGACCCACAAACAGAAGCTTAGTGGTGTACTCACCTGGTCAAATAGCACAGTAGAGTCAATGTTGTTTCCCACTGCAGAGACTACTCTCCAGCAAGCTGGCCTGGTGTCAGCCCCATTAGTACAAGAGCATGCTGGTTCCACTGGCCTGAGACTAGGAACCTGGTATTAAACATTGGCAATAAACCCAGGGAATGCTGGAAGCGTTCAGCAGGTTTGACAGAATCAGTAGAAGGAGAAGCACTGTAACATTTCAGGCTGATGACCCTTTGTCAGAAGAAAGTCACAGAATGGACAAAGTGTTACAGCATGGGAGGAGGCCATTCATCACCTCATGCTGTCTCATTGAGCATATCACTGTGCCAACCCACTGCCCTTTCCTCATAAACATGCACATTCGTCATTTCCCAGTTCAGGCCACTCGAGGGCAGTGGATAATTATTTACACAGCAAATACAGAAGGAGGCTATTCAGCCCACTGTTTCTGTACTGGGCTTTGTGTGCATTTTGCCTTAGATCCAACTCCCGCCTTTTCCCTGTAAACCTGCACATTGTTTGCATTTAAATAACCTCCATTGAACCTGCCTCCATATTTCCAGACAGTGCATTCCAGGCCCCAACTGTGTGAGAACGTAAGAACCAGGAGCAGGAGTATCCCATCTGTCCTGTCAAGCCTGCTCTGCCATTCAATAAGATTGTGGCTGATCTTTTTGTGGACTCAGCTCCACTTAACCACCCTTTCACTATAAGCCTTAATTCCTTTGCTGTTCAAAAATCTATCTTTGCCTTCAAAACATGCAACGAGGTAGCCTCAGAGATAGTAGGAACTGCTAATGCTGGAGTCTGAGATAACACAGTGTGGAGCTGGAGGAACGCAGCAGGCCAGGCAGCATCAGAGGAGCAGGAAAGCTGACATTTCAGGTCGGGACACTTCAGATTTCTCGAAACATCAGCTTTCCTGCTTCTCTGATGCTGCCTGGCCTGCTGTATTCCTGCAGCTCAATGAGGAAACTTCAACTGTTTCACTGGGCAGGGAGTTCCACAGACTCACACCCTTTGGGTGAAGAGGTTCCTTCTCAGCTCTGCCCTAAATCTGCTCCCCCTCATTTTGAGGCTGTACCCCCTAGTTCTAGTTTCATTCACCAGTGGAAACAATCTCCCTGTTTCTATCTTATCTATTCCCTTCACAATTTTATATGTTTCTATAAGATTCCCTCTCATCCTTCTAAATTCCAATGAGTCTAGAGTATATCTGAGAATGTTTTTCCTCACATCACTGTCACTTCTTTTTGCAAATTATTTCAAACCTATGCCCTCCTCTTGTTGAATGAGAATAGTCCTCACCCTGCCCACTCTGCCTGGACCCCTAATGGTTTTGAACACCTCGATCAAATGTCCCCTCAGCTTTCTCCTGTCCACGACGAACAATCCCAACTTCTCCAATTATCTTCAGAAGTGAAGTTCCTCGCTCTGGAATTATTCTCGTCAATCTGAAATGTTAACGCTGGTTCCCTCTCCACATCTGCTGTCTGGCCTGCTGAGTATTTACAGCTTTTTCAATTTCATTTCTGATTTATGCGGGATTTCACATTTTGTATTGAACATTTGTAATTTGGAATATTTGTGTTTTGATTTCTCGCAGTTTATGAACTGTGCAGAGACAGTAAAATTGTCTTATTAACAATTCATCACAAGCAGTTAAATAAAACAAATGCAGCTTTCTTTCTTCCTCTTTAGGATAATTAAAGAAGGTTAATCGCTTCCCTTTGATAACTCAAAGGCCACTGAATACTGGGTTTGATGGCACTTACTTATTACAAAATAAAATAATGACTTAAACACAAAATAAAATAAAGTCCTTGCAACGGGAGATGGCCAAGTATGGAATGTTTATGTCTTGTTTGTATCTCTGACAAGATTTAAGTGAATCAGGTGTGAGTCTGGGTGGGATTTGTGTGTGGACTGAGAATCACAGGATCCCTACAGTGTTGAAGCTGGCCATTCAGCCCATCGAGTCCACATCGACCCTCCAAAGAGCATCCCACTCAGACCCACACCCCCTACCCTATCACTGTAACCCTGCATTACCC